TGGTGAAGGTGATGGACTGCTAATCCATTGTGCTCTGCACGCGTGGGTTCGAATCCCACCCTCGTCGACGCCTTTTCCTTTTGGTTGCAGGATTTGGAGGTGAAAGGATTAGTCCCACTCTGCATATTGGAAGGGTGAAAAGCTGAGCTGAGTCCCTATTTTTGCATTGTTTGTGCTCTTTCTTCTGGGAAAGTATTGTTCCATATTCTCATTTCTTTTATCACTCTATTCTGCCAATGGAATCCATCACCCCCCTATATTCTTAATGAATGCTCAATGAATCCATCAGCGCCTGGCCTGAGTTTGCTGACAACTGAGAAACTTTTCTTACGCTTGAAATTTGGAGAGGAGCAGAAAAAGACTCCATTTCCTCTTCCTGCCTTCTTTCTCAGATCCAGACCATCAAGATCCAGAGATCCTATTACGGTCTCCTCCAGTTCTCCTTCTGCATCGCTAGGGACTGCAATCCTCAGCCATGAAGTGGAGAGATGAAGGCGGTGAAAGGCTGCAGTCTCCCTACCCTCTTCCCATCCAAAGAAGTTTGGATCTTGCAAGTATCCCAGGAGATGAACTGTGTACATTCTTGTACATTCCTTCAAGAGCAAAAGACGGAGGGAGACATGTGCCAGCTGGGATTTGAACCCAGGTCCCAAGGTTGGAAATCCAGCATGATTCCCCTACACAACTGGCACAGCTGTTGAGAGTCTGTATCAAGAGAAGCAATATTTAAATCCAGGGTTTCTCTTTTCCCATCTGATGGCGGGAGAAAGGAACACACTGGGTCTGGTGACCAAGGTATCTTATTGCTGTCTACCAGCCCAGCTATGGATGCTCAGGTGGGGGGAAGCAAGAGGGACACCTGAGCCAGGTCTCTGTGGCGCAATAGGTTAGTGCCTCTGGCTGTTAACCAGAAGGTTGGTGGTTCGAGCCCACCCAGGGATGGCCTGTTTGATGAGTTGACCAATAATAGGTGGAGGTTACAGAATGTTTATCTATTGGGTTCCTCATTTTGGAACTGCAGATCCCACCTTCTCTATTTTTTTCTGCTAGATTTAAATATTTAGCCATCTGCTTCATGAACTCTGTGCTCTGGAGGGCACACATTTGGTTGTGAGGATAATTACAGATGAAGCTGCAGAATGACTCTCAGTGGAAGAAGTGACAGCTGAGATGGGATTTTAATCCATGCATACAGAGTACAGGGTGTTAGTTCTCCATCAGCTCCCCTACTCAGCCATCTTGTCAAGGGAAGGGTACCTACAGGTGCTCCTGGGTGAACTCAAAACAATCCCTCCTCTTCTGGTCAACAGCCAGACCCCTTGTCCCCTTGGGCTCCAGAGTTCCCCTCAGCCTCCTTGAGGAGCTGATGCCAATCTCTCTCTCCCAAGTAGACCATATGCAGCTTTGCCCCCTCCAAGCCTCTTGCAATTCCTGCCTTCTTTGAAGTCCAAGGACTGCTGGTTGGATGGAGACTCTATCAAGTCTGGTAGGATGACCAGAGGGTGGGATGAGATAGGATGGGAGAAAAGAGGGGGAGGGAAAGTGGGGGGAGGAAGTTCAGGACAATTTTCTGGCCAGTTCTGCTTACTTTCCTATGAAAATGAACCTTCCTGAAAATTCCAGCTGCAGAATGGTGGATTGGTTGGAAGCAAAAGCTTTCCCTGGCCGGGAATCGAACCCGGGCCGTGGCGGTGAGAGCGCCAAATCCTGATCACTAGACCACCAGGGAAGGACAAAGTGGCTGTCATCCCTCCAGCTTCTCCTTGGAAGGGATATCAACTCCGACAGCAGGAAAGGTTCCCAGTGAAGGGAGTCTCACACTGTAAGGGCTGGATTGATGCAACGGAAGCATTTCCCTGCCACAGAGATGGAGGCTTTGGCATCGTCTCT